GGAATGAGAAATTGGAGAGCTGAGTTCAAATTCTGGTCAAGTTTGTTAGCTTCACTCATGTGTAAATACCATAAAGGTATAAATTAATTTCTTCCCTCAGCTATGAGTTAAATAGTAGAACTTGTATCTGGAAAAACCATTGTTATTCTAAAAAAAAAAAAAGCGAATGCAGTCAGTATTCAATTGCATGAATTTAAGCATGCTACTAGATTGGCATCTAGTTTCCGTGATTGTTGAAATAGCGAAATTCAACTGCCACTTCTGCTCCAGCAGTTTCTTTTCCTGCACACCCTTCTGATTATTTGCTTCCCTGATAACTACAATCTTCCAAAATTTAAAGGGAACGTCAATCACCATCTTCAGTCTTCTTGAATTCTGTTTATCTTTTGTCCTTTCCTCAATCCTCCCTATTCTCAGTCTTCTCTCTCACTTTCATTCCCTGTAACCCCCTGCGTACTAGTGACATTCCTGCCTTGCTTGGGGTGAAATGATTATAAAAAATATAAATTATTTTTGCAATCTGAAATATGTTTCAAACTTAAATATCTGACAAAGGATTGATAAGCCATAAAAAACCAAATCAAATTATGAATCAATCAAATAAAAGTGTGATTATCCATTTCCATTAGGCATTCTTGACTAAAGTTAACATTATTTTCGGTTAAAATTTATAAAATCTTTTTCTTAAACCAGTTTTTCAAGAAAATAGTCTTCTCAAGTCCACCGTTATCACACTTTCTAGTATTGATGAGAGTTTCTTTCTTAACCTTTTGTTTAAGGTTGTGCAGAAAGTTAACATCTTGATTAGATCTTTATTTTCCCTTCTAGTTACATGTGCCATCCATTTTAGTTATTGCTTCTAGTTGAACAAGACTAAAAACTTATACACATCATTGTGTACTTTCTGTGTGTGTGTGTGTGTGTGTGTGTGTGTGTGTGTGTATGTAGTTTCTTTTATTTCTTTTTTTATTTATCTGAACATCTTTTGTTCAAAGATAAAACTTGACATATCTGTATTTTTCTTTAATATCACATTTTATCATCACTTTAATCCTCAGAATTATCGAACCCCAAAATGCTGCCAGGCTTTCAGATTGATCTAGAACATAAAAACATCCAGAAAATGAGAAATGTCCGTGCTTTGCTTACTTTGGGTAAGAGTAAGCTGCAAAAGAACCAAAAAAAACCCCAAACTATGTAAGCCTTGGATGATAGCCAAGTCAGTGTTTTACATCCTTCAATAAATGAAGAAATTCCAATTTATTTCATCTTTAGACTCAGTGGCCATTGCCAAATTTGAGAAGCTCTCTCTCTCCTGCCAAATATATCGAATTAACACTCCTTTTTCCTGCAACACAATTTTCTTACTTTTTATGTCCAGGCGAGGAAGATGCTTATCACCATATCATATTGGACAACCCCCACAAAAAAAAAAAAAATAAAAACCTTCTTTCATTGTTGTGGTCTTATACATATATTGTTGAAAATTTGCAGTATTTATGGAGGAATGGTTTTCACTCTTGGGAATAGTGCTTGTATAATAGAGCAGTATGGACATAGAGAGCAACATGGGATAGCAACTGTCAGTTTCATGCTTTAAACAATCATCAGAACACACGTGTGAGCGTATGTAATGTATGGAGATATGGTAGATTAATTGATTGTGGCATGGATTGAGGAATTACAGTTGAATAGCAACACAGACTGGGTTCTGTAGCCTTGGGTAGCAACCAGTCTAGGAGAAGGAAAAATTCTGAATTCAAAATTGTATGTAGCCCTGAGGAAGCACATACTATGCAGCTAAGGAAAGGATTGTTCGCATTGACTTGATTATTCCCACTATGGTTGACTCCTTAACAGACTGGGTTCTATAGCTTTGGATGACAACCAGTCTAAGAGAAGGGAAAACTGTATGTAGCCCTGGTAGAGCACATACTATACAGCGAAGGAAAGGAACATTTGCATTGACTCAATGGTCCTGACTACAGTCGACTCCCTTTTTTTCTTTTTTAATGTGTGTGTGTATCTTATTAAATATTAATTTTTCTCTTTTGCAGTATCAGTAGAAATGAAATTAATTTGTCCCTTTATTCAATTTCTTATTTTAGGTTTTTACACACACACACACACACACACAACATTCTTATACATAAGCCTTTTGGTGAATAATTAGATTTCAGCAGTCTTTAAAGTTTCTAAATGCTGTTTCAGTTGAGGAAAATTGATTCATTGCAGCTAACTTAATGAATGTGTAACCACACTTTGGCGACTGCAGGGTTCAAACTGGAAAAAGATCAGATTCTCATTTGAACTTTTTCAAGGGCAATTATTATAGTCTTCTCTCTTGAAAGATTGGCTTACAGCCATATCATGTTGAAACACCTCATGATCACGGAAGTTAAGCAACACCAAACCTGGTCAGTACCTAGATGGGTAGCTACTTAGTAATACCAGTTGAATGTGTGGGTGGTATAATAAATAATGATTCAGAGTTGTTAATCAGAGAGCTGAGTTCCAATTCCATTTGGGTTTGTAATATTCACTTATGCACAAATACTCTTGGGAAAGATATGAATCCACCTCTTCTCCCCCAGATGTGGGTTAATTAGTAAGACATGTATTGCTAAATCATTATCTTCAAAAAGAATTCTAACAATCTAAAAATATTTTCTGGCTTTAAATAACCTGCAATAGGTTGATAAGCCATAGAAAATGAATGCATCAAAATAAAATCTTGAAAGATTGACACAACACAAACTTTATTTACATTTGGACTATTGCCCTCATTTTTGTCTATGAATATCTTGTTTAGTTCTTATTTAGTACTGCTCAGTTATTATTTACAATGTTTCCACCGAGTCTAAATCTGTACTACCCAGCCCAGGGATTGAACTCACAATTACTTTTTTCGTACTGCTCAGTTATTATTTACTCTGTTTCCACTGAGTCTGAATATGTACAACTGGGGCCAGGGATTGAACTCTCACTGACTATGCCACCAAATTCATGAATCAAAATTTGAATCTACTAGGCTATTGTCAAAGGGTCAAATTGTGTCTAGTTAGGTTAGTTAATTTTATGACTTGTTGGGTTATTTAATGTCAAGGCACCAACTGAGAATAGAACTTCTACTTAGTAGCAATGGTCAACCAAACTAGCCTTGCCAGCCATTACCCAACACTAAGGTACCAATGTGGTAATCACCGACGATTAGTTTATCATATAGCACATTCAAAACTGATTAATTTTAGGTAAACTGTCCAGTTAATTATTCATAAATTTGTTCATCAGATGCTAAAATTATAGAAATTTGACCTGAAATTAAATTATTTAAAAGAGAAAATTTATCTCCAAAATGGATTAAAATTTCTGATTTGCTGAGAAATAAACGAGACTTAATTTTTTTGTATGTCATATTAAGGAGATACCATCTATCAGAAGCTGTTCACAGAGCAGCAGCAGCAGCAGCAGCAGGTGTGTGTGTGTGTGTGTAGATCAAAATGGCAAAGATGAGATCAGAAAATGAATGCAGCATACTTGGCTGATGGAACCAAATCAGCACCTAACAGCTTTTGGTCAATCAACAAGTCATCGTCACAATAGTTATATGAGTAGCTCTTTATATTTAAGACTGATAATTCGTTCATGTGGTCAGCTGGTTTCACTGTTGTCATAAGTCTGGATAATAAAGCTCATTCCTTGTGAGAAATTGTTTGTAGTTATTGGATACATCAAATACGTTATATCTGATTGGCACTAAATTTGTTTTTTTTTTGTTTTTTCTAATTTTCCTTTTCAGTTACATGAACAGTACTGTGGAACCCAAAATATTTTTTTTTCCTAATTATCTTTCTGGAGTATTCAACACTGAAATTAAATTTGTTTTGGTAGAAAAGATGGATGTCTTTGTCATGTCTTGTTTCTTTCTCTTTCCATGTCGTTAACCAGTACAAGTTCCTTACATTCACTTTCATTCAAATACTCTTGGAAACGGTATGAATCCATCTCTTCTCCTCACCCTCATCTATAGATTAAATAGTAATGCAGATTGGGCTCTTTAGCCTTGGTTGGTAACCAACCTGGGAGAAGGACAACTCTGAATTCAAAACCAGTTGGTCATCCCATAAAAGCCTGCTTGATACAGCCTCACTACAGTAATGGCACTTACCGTGCTGAATCTGTAGCTTATACTTCATAGAGTAGCATACAGGACATGAATGGTAAAAAAGGCTACATACTCTCAGATTTCACTTATTGTAATTTTAAATAATTCTAACCATGAACAAGAAAATATTGTACTGTGAGGAGTGAGTAAGCAAGCTTTTGTATTTACATTATTCAGTCCTCATCTTTGTCACCATATTTATTACGTTTTGGCTATTGTACACTCCGGCCTTCTTCAGGTGGTTGTAATGTAGAACTGAACCCTTTATTTCGCTCAATGGGGCAGACTGTTCTAGTTCCACGTGCCATGTCTAATGGATGTCAGTTATCGGTTATCTCCTGTTAATTCCCCTCTTCAAGTTCTCCACCAGGTATTGAACTACATTCTTTGGGTCCTGTCACTGGATCTAACCAATGCCTTTATCCACTGTGCCATGTGTCCTTGTGTATGAATTTCTGGGTATTATAAACCTAATGCCTTCAATACCTGGTTATGGTGGTGGAGAACTTGGAGAAGGGAATTAACAGAAGATAACTGATAACTGACATCCATTAAACATGGCATGTGGAACAGTCTACCCCAGTGAGCGAAATAAAGGGTCCAGTTCGACATTTCAACCACCTGAAGAAGGCCAGAGCATACAACGGCTGAAACGTAATAAATATGGCGACAAAGATGAGGACAATAGTCCGAATAATGTAAATAGTGTACATAATACCTCATCTCAGAAATATAGACAAATACTGAAGCTTTTGTATTTGTTGTGCAATTCCATTTTGTAACCTGACTTTTTTGAAGTGTTACCTATTGAATTTCTCTTTCTTTCTTTTTACAGATCGCCGACAGTGGTGTGCTATCGTTGTGTTACTAGTCATCATGGTGGTCATTATCGTCTTGTTCTTTGTACTTTGAGAAAAAGCAAGCTTTGCTGCCAGCATTTTGGTAACAAGCCACAACAGTTAAAAGAAAAAAGAAAGGGGGTTGGCATCACTATGGACAGGAATGCTCACTTGTTTATGGTTGTGTTGCTAATTTCCACAACCGCCTCAATACCCATCCCCCCCACTCCCCTCCATCTGACTGTATAACAGTTGACAGCGACATTACTAAAAAAATTTTTTTTTGTTTTTAAAGGTAACATTCCTCCAACTGTGACTACAAACCGACTATTAATTTCCCAGGTCCTAAAATTTACAACCAACTGATCTGGATAGTTTACTTACAGTTGGCTCCTCTGATCAACAATTTTTTTTTCTTGTTGTTTCTGCTACATCCCTTTATTCCCCACCACCAGCTGTATCAGCTCCAACCCAGTCTGCCAGAGAAAATGGACATAAAACAGCAGTTAACTATTTAAAAAAAAAAGAAAAAGGGAAAGAAAAAAATAATAAACAAGGTTTAGTTGTTACATAAAAGAGACACAACTGCTAAGGAGCAAGAATTATTTTTATTATCTGTGACTTTCTCTGCAATTTATTGAAGGCCCCCTCCCCACCTCACAACCCACCATTTTTTTTTTAAATTTAATTTAATGAAATAATAAACATTTTAATAGGTTTGACTTTCCATGTGTAACATGAGTTTGATCAAATGGGATCTAGAATGATGCGTTTTTGGAATGTAACAATCAGTGACAAAAGATATACACACGCAATTTGCGTCTGGAAAGGTTAAATGTCACTTAGGAAACAAAAATATTTTTAATCTCTACTCTCTAAAAAAAAAAAAATAATAATTTGGTGTAATTGATAGGAACCTGATCATTACCTGGTTCTGATTTGCAATTTTTACCTACAGTTAAATTATATTAAAAATTGTATTATCTACAGATAATACAATTTTTACCTACAGTTAACTTGTAGGTTAATTGTCAATTGTTTCTTGTATTTTCACTTAAAAAAACAAAAAAAAACAACCTAAAAACCCCCAAAATCTTCAATGAAGACAAGTTTTAAGTCAACCAAACAGACACATTTGTCAGAGACATTATGCATGGATATTTGTAGCTAATTACACAAATAGCACAAATGTTAATTTCTTTTTTCTTTTCAAATATGGAACCTGTCTCAAAGGTAATCTGGCTTTTGTAATCTTGGCTCGAGAAAACAAAATAGGGCCCCAAAACATCGTTTTATTTAAGTTTGAAAGAATAACTTTCAAAATGCTTTTATATAAGCCTGTTTTTCTTCTTTAGTTTCTAAAATTGCATTTGATAAATTTTATATTTTCTTGTTTCTACTCGACTGGCCACTTGGGAGAATATTCAAATATAAAATTTTTAAATTAGTTTTTGTTTGTCTTGTATTTGGACAGTCCATTTGACTGCTGACTTGTGTATATTAATTCATATGTACATACTTTAAGAAAGTTTAAAAGATTTGTCTGGGATGTTTGTTGGTTGGAAGAATAAGAAAAAAAAGACCATAGTTCTTTTTCCTAAATTTTTGAGTCTGAGCCCATATAAATATTGACCACTGTTTCTATTCGATTATTAACGTTTGCCTGAAGATAGAAAAAAAAACAAAAAAAAAAAACAAAGTAAATTCCGATAAATTGTACTTAGGGAATTCACTGGTCGTAAATATATTTTTCATTTTGTTTGAGTTTTCTCCCCGTTTCAAATCAGTTGGCTATGCAAAGAAATCAGAATTATAAGGGGAATAACTCTTGTAGCAGATAGAACCGATATTAGTACTTAGTTGCCTCCCTTACAATTAATATCCTTCTTCACTTATGAACACGCGCACATATAATTGCTCTGCCAATCGTTAGGCATTTAACAACGTCATTTTTTTCATTTTTAGCGCTGACACGTAACGATACAAAAAACAAGAACAAGAAAAAAGATTTTGGCTGAGTTTTTTTCCCCCCGCCTTTTGTTTTTTTTACTTGGAATTTTTTTTTTTTTTCTTTTAGGTTTGGGACCAGTCAAAATTTGTAAAATGCTCTCTGCGGTCAGTTTTTTTAAATTTTTTTTATTATCTTTCCTCCTGGTTGTTGTTGGATTTTTTCAGATTGTGAATTGAAACCTCCGAGTTTTAATTTAGAAAGTTGTGATTTAAAGAGCGGGAAAAAAAAATCTCAAAGGGGAGGTGGTGTGTTACAGTCATTTGGTTAGTGCTTTTTGACTGTTTGTCTAACTACTATGATCAGTGTGGACAATGGTGAATTGATATTTTTCAAGTACTTTGCAGACCATTTTCACCTTCAATAATTTCATGGTTCCTTGTTATTGAACAGTTCCTCCCCCAACTCCTATAATTTTTTTCACTCCTCATTTGTAGCCTCCAAGATACTCTCTGAAATGACAATTTCAATGGGCCTTCAAGCATCATATTAAATTAAAAAGAAAAAAAAAAAAAAACACAAACTCATAAGCCAACTACAATCGCTGTTGAGCGAATGGAGAACGAATGCGGTCCAACTCAGTTTGGACATCGACATTTTGTACATAGGACTTTCCAAATTAATTCGCTCAAGTTTTTAAATCTTGTAATACTGTCATGCTTGTATCCAAGAGGAGACAAATCTTGTTACACTGAGTATTGAGATAAGAGTTGTCTGCCCTTTCATTTTTTTCTTTTTCTATGGCGGGGTTAGCAGCGACGTTTGAAAGGTAGAAAATTTGAAATAAAGGATTTTGGTTAAGTTGGAAACGAAAGAAAAATTTAAGAAAATTAATAAAAATGCATTTGTATAAAAAAAAAAGTGACAAAAAATGAAAACACTGTTGCAATTTATCTTCGCCTCAATTTATTTCATTTTGCATGGCTTTTTTTTTTTTTTTTTTTTTTTTAAATGTTTCAATATAAAAACTGTCTTTTGCCTCTAACATTGATGAGTATTTTGTATCAAAGATCCTCTGATGATTAAATACAAAAAAATGGATTTGCCAGGAACAGATCGAAGTGAATATAAAGCTAAACTTCATCACATACTTCCATTATCATGGTAAGAAAATTTACATGCTCAAGGTTAGAATTTTGGGTCAAAAGTATTCACTAAAAAAATATTCACCAAACTAATCAACTGGTCAATTTACATATTTATTTAGTTTACCAAAATTCAAATTATAATTTTTTTGGCAATTAGTATGTATTGAAATGTTTGATCTTTGCAATATTATTTAACTGGAAATACCAATGAAAATTTCAGTTTTCCTATTTGAATTTTCTAATATATCTTAATTATTAAGTCAATGATTGAATAAGCTAATAGTGAGTTCTAGGAGAAAATAGCCATAGAAATTGCCCTATTGTATTGTTAAATATTTGAGTTTAACTTTAAAAAAAATATTGCAATAACAGTAAATATGACACAGCTGTTTGAGGTTTCTTACAGACCCACTGAACTTAAATAAAGTCAATTCAGGTTTCCTATGGTAAAAATTTTCTTTCCCAAGTGAAAATCATCACAAAAATAGCAAAAGTCATTTTGTCACAGCTTATTTTCTCTCAAAATATGGGTTTTCATACTTTTATAGGGGTAAAATATTGAAAAATGACTGTTTTATCATCACCTAAACTAATATTAAGGAAACTTTTGATCTGAACCCCATGAAACTAGGTATTTTCTGAAAGCAAAAGATATATTCTTTCATTTAAAAGTAAAATTAGCTGGTGTAAATGACTCAAAATTTTTTTTCAGTGGGTAAAATGTGAAAAATAGTGAAAATTTTGCATTTTTTTTTCTTGTTCTAAACAAATATTTCCCCATTAATGGGAAATTAATCATTTTTTTTTTTCTTTTTTTGAAAATCAGAAAGCCTAAATCATAATGAAACTATTTCAGGCATAAAATTGAGAGTTTTGAAGGAAATCTACATTCCTAGAGGTTCAAAATGCGACAAAATCCATTGGTAATTTTCAATTATATGACTGCCAAGGGTTAAAAAAATTGACACCTGGCCACAGAAATCTTTAGTAAAAGGCAAGAGATTTATCTGCAATTCCTAACCACCAGAAACCAAAAGTTTTTTTTTTCCCCTAAAAATAGCGATAAGGGAAAATAAACCTAATTGACTTTGACGTCTAGGTCAAAGGCCAGCCAGCAATAAACGGACGGCAAACCTTAGAACAAGTTGTAATAAAACCCACCACTCCCAGATAAAAGCAAAGAGTGAAAAAAAAAAAAAAAAGGGTTCACGATTACTAGGGCTTCATACAACCTATGTTTGAACAATGGCTTGATGAGTTTACTTTTGTTTTGTTTTTAACACCCCCGTGACCCGGGTGATGACAACAACACTTAGCAGCCGACATTGTTTTTTTTCGCCGCATATCTTTCGTATTTCCCATCGCCGGTCCATTTAGCCTTTCTTTTTATTCAATGATGTTCATGCCAAATGAAAGAGAAAGGAATGAATTTTGAATGATGTTATTTTGAAGCGAAAATAAATATTTTTTCATATAAAAAAAAAGGGGATTTTTCTCAGAAAATTGGGCATAATTTCTTAATGCTAACTGCCGAGTGACATTTTCCACAGCCAAATCAAAGATTAATTACCAGTAAATAATTCCATGTGCAAAAAATAGCTGTCTGGATCCTATAAGGTCGCCCTAAAAGGTCCAGAAGTTTACTAATTGATCGAAAACCTGTTGCGCATAATTGTATTTTTCACAGTCAGTTTGCATTATTTCATCTTGATATTACCATTTTCGGACAGCCAAGTCATCAAGGATTCAGGAAAACACTTTGGCATAGGTTTTCTTTAAGAACTTTACATTCTATGAGGTGTTTAAAATGTTACTAACGAATGAGATTTTTTGCCAAATATTTCGTTTACACGCCATGTTGGATTTTCCTATATGACAAAAACAAGGGTTTTAAACAGCTGTGATGAATGCTGGCCATTATGAAAAGATTTTAAATTGACAACTTTTCCATTTTATCAAAAGACATTGAGCTTTCTTTCATGTCTTATTGAAACTAAAGTAGTATCGCTGTCTTTTCCATGTGATCAAAATGAAAGAGTTCATTATTTATGAAGGGACAAGCAGAATCACAATGATGTCCTCATCTTAAAACAAAAACTTATTTTTCAATACAAAACGTCCAACCTCCAATTCCTCTTCACCAAAAAGGTGGTGTGTTCATATTGGATTTCAATTAAGTATTTCTGTACCACCATTTTTTTTTTTTTTGTTTGTTTAAACCCACTGGTACCAGGGAGTTTTTAACTACTAAATATTCAAAATTAATAATGGTTAACAATAATTTAATACACAAAGATGATACTATTAGTATAGCAAAAACAAAAAAAATACAAAGCCTCAATTTTGATAATTAAAAAATGTCGGGGGTGGGGGCAATTTTAACATACAGAGATATGACATCACAATCCTGTTCTCAGTCACTGATAAGTCCATGGTTGATTCTTATGGCCTGCCTTGGAGTTGGTTTCCTCAATCCCACCCTACCCACATTGTGTTTGTTTTAGATCATTGGGCAGGTGAAGCTGAGTTGTATATTCAATGTTTCGGATCCAGAAGCTTTTGCGAGATGATGTCACAAAGAACAAAATAAGTAACGTCTGTGTAACACAACAACTTTATATCAAAGGTTCATACAATGAACGTTCTTCTCACTAAATTAAGAGCATGCAGATTTCCAGTACCTTCCCTCTTAATCCCCCATGGCACTATGTTTAGCCAGATTTGCTAAAAACTGGTACAAGTGGGGTGGGGGATTCACCAGACAAGAAATCATCCTCAACTCACCTCCCACCCATACAAAGTAAAGAAAGGGATCATCCACTGCCATCAAGTTGTGGGAATCCAGGGACATATGAACAAAAAAAATGGTCAGTATAAGCAGTAACCTACAATAATAACTACCCAGGGTGCATGACAGCAGCTCTAACAAACTGGGATAAATGAGTATAAGAGGATAACATTCAGGCTAGGCAGAAAAAGAGGATAACATTCAGGCTAGGCAGAAAAAATACAAAAAGATCTGCGGTTCGTATAACATCAGGATGACCTTCAAAAGTGGTTCAACACTTCAGGCACCTCTTCCGAGTAAGCCCTCCTCTAGAGGAGAACATAATTAAAGACCATGTGAACAACTTAACATGCAGCTGTGACAAAAAAATAAAAGAAACAAGCCACCCTCTTATAAGACAGCAGGAACACCATGAAAGATGTAACATGAGGAAAAATAGAAAAGACATGCTGACTATATATGGAGTGAAAAGGGAGATCACTGCCCCCTGTGAGATGAAGCTGAAATAATAGAGAACATCACTGGAAAATATGATAATGTATGCTTAGTCACAAAAAAAAAAAAAAAAAAAAAATCTAATCCAGCCAAGCAAAGACACAAATACAATATGGGAACCCATAATACAGAATGCTGGAGAGAAAGGGAGGGAAAAAAAAAAATGTACACGAATACATTAGGTTTATAAGTCCCAAAAATTCATACATTACTGTCCTCAAGGACACACAGCCAAGTGGATAAAAGTGTTGGAAGTTAATGCAGTGACTTGACCCAGAGAGTTGCGAGTTCAATACCTGGTCACAGCAGAAAAACTTGGAGGGTTGAATTATAAAAGGTTTTGAAATTCCAATAACATGTAAATGTATTATCAACTTGGTTTCTATAAGAACAAAACAATGTACTATTATCCATTAGCACCTTCTTCCCTTCCCCTAGATAACACTAATTCCCACCCTCTTCAGTGTCTCTATGTGCCAGGTAAATTAGCCTGTGCATGACAACAATAAACATTTCTCACCATGAATCAATCTAAATTCCTCAAATGATAGTCTTCCAGAGCACAGACATTACATGTGACTTTAGGTTAAATCTGCTTGGCTTCTCGCATAATAATCATCTTTGACATTTTATTTTATTTTTCAAACTCTCTTCTTAGTCATCACCAATTTCACTCATCCAAGCACATTACAATCATTGTTCTTAACCATGCTGTACCTTTCACTATTACAATACTTACCTCTAAAGCAATAGTTATTGCTGCACTACTACAGTATGACACCTTCACGTTTTTTTTTTATGATTTAGATACATATTGAATATCAATTATTACCCCAGTTTACTCATAATATAGTTGCATGTATTTCTGGACTATTCAACAATACCGTTTTGACCTGAAAATTTTCTACATTGTTTCAATTCCAGGACAATATTTTCCCTTCAAGTGTGTATTGGGGAGGGTGGTTTATTTGCTCATCTTATCCTTTGTACTATCTATCCGCCTTTCTTTAACATCACTTGTTTCATCCACCAATATTACATAGGAGTTGATGAGTTACCAACTCCTACATAATATTGGTGGATGACCTCTCGATTATTACCACAATTTGTGGCACTGAAATCCCAACATAGTTAAATCACATGTTCTGCCCTCATCATTCACCAGTGGTTATTTCCATAATCTCGGTCATCCTTGAGATGTAGGAAATATCTGTGCATTTGTGCTTTTTCTTAGTGATCTATATACTATGTGGTGTTCTGTACTATAACAGCATAGAACACGATGGCTCAGGACACACAAGGTGAGTTAAATCAAACGGGTCTAAAGAGTGGGTTGATTGACCTACACCAAACCAGGGTTGATTTTCTGTCAGGGTTTTCTATCCCTTCATTCCCATACTACAGTCTTACATTTTTTTTCCAGACCTGACAATTCAGGGATTTTTTTTCTTTTTCTTCTAAGACTGAAAAACTGTCTGCTCCTACTATTTAATCCATATGAATTCATACAAAGTGACATATGTAGTGATTAAAATCTTGAATAGATTCCAACAGAGAGATGTTTTTTCATTGATTGAACTACCACCATTGATGGTAACACTATTCTTCCCCCCAGCACATGAGGATACAGTCTTCATTTCTTTCACAAATTCAGCTTTAGTTAAAGAGTTAACTGCAAAAATGCAGTCACAACTTGCTAGCTGTGTGTGTTCCTGGTTCCAATGTAAAGCCTACCTTACACTGACAGCAAATCAAAATCAGATTTGTACTCTACAGTCCTTAACTACATGTGACTCACAAACACCTAAGAATGCTAGTCATTTTATTTATTTATTTTTTTTTTTTTGCTAGATCCCCCTTGCTGTAACATGCTGGGTGTTGATGGTGAATAAATCCTAAGTTCTGGACCTCAAGTCTCCAGCGAAATGTGATTAGGGAAACCAGTTAAAAACAAACTTAGCTCTATCTCCAGAAAATCCAGGCAACCTGATTTCAGCTGTTGCCCCTGTCAATTTCCTTTTCTCTTGTTTGCTATTAGCCATAAATACTCCGCTTTGTAAAGTCTAAATTGTCTTGCAGAAAACTGAGCAACTTTTCCTATTTCCAAATATTCAGCTAATGCACCAACTCGAGCTGCTGCATGTAAAAAAAAAAAAAAAAATCACTGTATGTGCTGCAAAATTACTATGTCTCCTTTACTTCATATGTTATCAAACATCTTATAAAGCTGAAAGAGATTGTCATTAAATGTGAAAAGAAAAATGTCACCTGTATCCATCTTCTACAGAATGGAACTAAAAATGGAATTGTTTAAACTGATTTTTGATGAAACAGAAATATCACTCAGTTCTTGTGGCCAAAAGAATGGGAAATAATTTTGGTATACTGAAAAATCAACTACATCATATCAAATTTTTGACCCCCCCCCCACCATTTTGTGTGTGGAGTCAGTAGATGCGAAAAACAGTCCCACTTTTGCTCATCATTTTCCAGAATAGAAAATACAATGCCTGATTAATATATAGACTTCATTGTAATAGTTAAATTTCAAACTCTTACATAAATAAAATTGTTATGAGATTAATTTTAAAAATAGAAATCAAATGCATTCATAAAAAATAAAAATCAGTTTGCAGAAAGTTTATTTTCTGCTACACTTAGCAAATAAAATTAAAATGGGTTAATTTTTTTTTTTTTTTTTTTTTTTAAATTAACAGACTTTGCAAAACTTTTATGTAATTTTATATAAATTTGCAGATACAATACAGCAAAAACATTTATTTTAAGCTGTTCATGTGATCTTTGGAAAGGAAACAAAAATAAAGATTCTGTATATCTTTTTAGTTTCATTAAATAAAATCATCCAATTATTGTTGGAATTTTTGAGATGAGGAATTATTTACACCATTTATATTTAGAAGGTTAGAGGACACAATGATTGAAGTGTGATAACAACAAAGATGAGGACAATAGTTCAAATATAAATAATGTAAATAAAATCCAAATATTTCAAAATTAAAATGAATATTTACATTCTTAGTATCACGAGACTTTCAAGTTTCTTGGGAAAAGTGTTTCGAACTTAAAACAAACTATCAAATATAGACTAAAATCATGGAGAGAAAAAAAAAAATACTAAGATTTACAAAAATTCCTCGATTATAGTCCTCTGAAATGCAGCTAAAATTTGTATTTTGACTTTACAATTTTATTCTAATATTAAAAATAAACCTTTTCTTTTTTTTTCTTCTTTGGTACAAGACTTTTCTGGTAAATTTAAATATCCCCATTTCTAGCTCTTCAAATACTCTTAAAGTGCCAAACAGAAAATGAATGTTTTTAAAAAAAATATCACAGCAGCTGTAAAGAGTTGCTTCCATTGAGTCAAAAATGTCAGGAGACAATTTGTTCATCAAAAGTAGATTCAGATTTGAATCATTCTTTTTTTAGGGTCAAAAATGTAACGTTTAAACGTTAAGATGATTTTCACTGGAGGACCTGTTTCTAAAGTTGCATCACCACCAGATTCTTTATCTTTGCCTTTCTTTTTAGACCCAGAATATCTCTTCATCACTTCTGGACTCAAGCCATCTATAAAAAGACAAGATTAAAACAGAAAAAAAAAGAAAAATGTCAAGTTTGGGTAGAAGCAAATTTTAAATTCAGTTTGCCAATGTTTAACATTCATGCCAGAAAAAAATGTATCAAAAAAGACAGTTATTCTCTTAACACTGATATTACTGTATGCACTTTTGACTCCCTCAGCAATTTTATTTAGAAGATTATAAAAAATGTGAACCAAGTACAATGCAATATTTATTATTTACTTTTTTTTTTTTTTTTTTTTATAGAAATAAATTTGAAAAGGAATATTTATTGAAAAATTTATTAAAATTTACAAAAACTGTTAAAATATGTAAACCAACTACAATGCAATATTTGTTATTTATCATTTTACTAGCAGTAGAGCCCGGCGTTGCCCGGGGATGTAACAGTAAGAGATAAATCAAGTATCAACCATCATGAAGACTGAAAAATAAAATTGACAAAGATTATTGTTTAAGGTTGACGGACACGCATGTCTTAATTAGTTTTTTTTTTTTTTTACGAATTGGTCAAACTCAAACAAAAACATTGTTTTCAATCGTTATGAGTCTATCGATTGAATAGAATTTTATTATAAACAATTGTCTTGTAAATGGAATTTTTAAAGCATTCTGAATGTAAAAATAAAGAAAAAAGTGTGCAAGAGAATAAGAAACACTACCTGCCAAAAAAAAGTGAAGTTTTGTTGAAATCGGTTGAAAAATGTAGGAAATCTGATCCCATATATAAAGGAACCCACACACAAACAACTTGGGTTTTATAATAAGTATAACTCGATATGAGTTGTCCCCCTTTCATTCTGGCTCCAGAATTGGGTTTTATTGTGTTTTAAAATTGATTTCATGCAAAAACAATTGTGTTTTTCTAATTTTTGGCGCTGTCAGAACCACCGCAAGGTAATTTTACACAGCTTTGAAGTTTTGTTGAAATCCATTGAAAAATGTAGGAAATCCAATCCAATATATAAACGTACAGACACACACACACAATCTGCGTTTTATAATAAGTAAGATAAATAACTACAGAACAAGTATAATTTGAATAAACCTGACAAACATAAATTAAAAGAATGTTTGGTTCAGAGGAAGAGATGCACTTATTTTAATGAATTTATGTGATGAAAGCAAATGAAAGAAATACCCAGAAAATGCTTTTTTTGTTTTTTCAAAATTTATAATTATTCGTGTTATTTAAATTTTCATCTCTAGACATTTCTATAAATTTATGAATAAAAATATTTATTTCTTTATAAAATGGTAAAAAAAAAAAAAAAAAAAAATCTCATATTTGATTCACATATTTTATAATCTCATAAATACAAAATTATTCTTGCACATAAGCAATCTAATAAGTAAATAAATATTGTTGTGAATTCTACAGAATAAAGAAAATGTATGCATCCATTTTGATATGTTTGTTTTTTGTTAAAATTCTAATCATTACTTTAAAAATATAAACATTGCCAAAGGAGTCAAAAGTGTATACTGTAATAGCAGTGACAAGGAAATAATTGTCCTTTTGACATCATATATATTTTTTTTTCACAGACACAAAGGTTAAATATTGCCTTCAGTTCTTTTTCAATAACATTCAATTCATGACACACACATACACACCCCAAAAATGCACATAAAGTGTGCGGCAGAAACCCCTCCCACATTTTAAACTGTTACCTGTGTGGTGCTAGTGAACATAGGTAAGTAGCAATGGTGACTTATGTGGGCACTATTTCTGCCACACCCTGTATATAGCACAACATTAGCTCACGTTATAACAACATTAGCACCTGAAGTAATGCCTTCTATTTTATCATAATGGTCCACAGTGTAAGTGGTAAATACTGGTGCTTTGACAGTAGAAGATGAACTTTCCCAACAATGAACCATCATTGTTTTTTTGCCTTGTTAAAGATGGCAAATGAATGGCAACTGGGCAAAATGGTGCCGGGTATAAAAAATATCTATCATTGAATACTGCCACATGGGGAAAAAAATTCACTCATTGATATTTATTGATGCTTGATAAACATTTTAAGGAGACCAATTGGTGGATGTGAGCACAGTTAAGCAATGGGTAATGTATTTCAGCAGTGGCAGCTCTGTACAGCTGTGAAATGAAGAGAAAGCTTCATAAATTTATATTCAGTGATGGTGGTGACAGTAGAAAAATAAGGTTTTATAGCTGAAAATGTATTCTACCTAATGGTTTTATTGCGATGCATTCACCTGTTATTGTTTCCTTTCAAATAGGAAGGCATCCCTCATAAATACTGGACATTTGCCAATCAGATAATACAACTGATATTATCAATAAATTTTTCCAGCAATTTAAAACTAATCCTGAAAAGCAATTGGAATTTAATTACAAACTTTTGTTTTTAATCTATAATCAAAATGTTTGGCACATTTTCTCAAGATATAAAAGCAAAAGTTTACAGTCAATTCCATAGCTCTATTTCTATGTGCCATGCCCTTTCTTAATATATTAGTTTCAGTTATTTCCCTTTGGTAAGTCAATTCTCCAAATTTTTGTTCCCTCTACTGTGGCCAGGTATTGAACTCACAACTCTTTGGATCAAGTCACTGGATTACTTCAACCAATGCTTTTATCCTTAGGATCATCAGTAAATTAATTTTTGGTACTTACAAACCTAATGTCTCGGTATATATTTTTTTTTAACAGAGCTTATATTACAATTTGTTGCTATTGTTGCTTTTCTCTAGCACACTGTATTACTGGTTCCCATATATTTTTTTTTACCACTGGAATAATTAACGACTTTGGAAGAGCCTACAATGTTACCCCACCCACCCCAAAAAATAAGCAAAGAAAAGACATGGTAACCAAATTCTAGTAAGTCACAAAAAAAAAAAAAAAAAAAAACTCAAGTAACAAGTAAAATAAATTTCAAGTTGAAATAAAAGCAGCCTAATCAAATTCCCATTGCATTTTTTTCCTATAAAAGCAATCCTGTTTTTATCAACAGGAAAGTTGTTTTGTCATTGTTGCCCATTTTGCTTCAATCCCATAATCCTTAACCAGATAATAACGAAATGATAATGCATAATAACGCAAAATAAAATTTATTAAATGCCTTTCGTGTGGTACTGAAAAAGTCACTCGTAAGAAATATGTAGCCTCAGAGTTTCTTGAGATCAACGTGGGTTGGGGCTCAGAGCAGGCTCAATAACCATATTTTTGGTTAGAGACGACCACAAACAGAGCAAATTAACCCAACATCAGATTTGCGCAGTTGGTCATCATTGGCCATTTTCCTGCTTCTAACAGCAGAGATTAATATTTTCTTACAAATATTTTAAGTCAAGGAAAAAAAAGAAATAATGTGTGTGTGTGTGAGATTCACAGGCAGTACTGTTTCACTGCATCACAGCTCCTCAGTGCGACTAGACATTCGAATACCTCAAGCCAGGACGGAAACCCGACCGATTTGGTGTTAGAGTTTCTACCACTAAGCTATCATCACTCAGCAGAGAGATACAGCTAATTCTAGTGTATTGTTTTTACAAATGTAAACAAACACCAATCAGTCAAAGTGCTCCAATTCATTTTACTGAAGAGCTTTGCATTTGCGCAGGTGACTGTTGTTTATAGAATCAGCCTCTCAACAGTGATTAACTGAAATATATTTTCAGGAGCTAGAGCACTTTTCTATATCATCAGAAGAGTCGACAGCATAGTGATAGGTGAAATACCCATCTTCATGTAATGGACTCTCCTGGTAATATAGAAAGAAAAACAGTCAAATCTGAGTAGAATTTATTTATTTTTATTTTTTTGAGAATCTGAGATCTTGCAAATTGGGTGTTGGTGCTAATAAAATAGTGGTCAATGTCTAATAATGGTCATATAATTTATATTAATAAAAAAAAAAAATACATTTCCCCCACCCTTCACCAGTAGTGCAACAGAATCGTCAGATGTTTTGGCAAGGAAAAAAGTGTGTGTGTGTGTATATGATGAAAATAGTTTAAATGTATTTTGTCTCTATAGTTAAAAAAAAAAAAAAAAAAAAAAAGACATTGGGCACTTTTACCCATAGATATAGCATGTCTTATAACCCTGTGTGTGAGAGAGAGAGATAATATGTAAACAGAATTGTGACATCTATCAGAGAGATGAAATTTAAATTTTTATTATTGCATTATTCCAAAATTTTAACACATCAGCAGATAACTATTAATGTCAACAACTGACCACAAATAGTTATTTATTAAAAATATTAGTAACTAATCTATATAATATTATCCATAAGTACATGTAAAAGAACATCATTTTTGATAAAGTTAAAAAATAATCATAAATACATAAAAAAATGTGTATATTGTTGAAAATTCCTTTTTTCACAATATAGCTAATAGTGAATAACTTTTTCTTAAACATTAAAGTATATTTAATCACATCTCTCTAATAGCTGTCGTGATCTGTTAACTAAACATGGATACATATATGCAGTTTTTTTTTGTTTTTTTAAAAAGAAATAAATTCTTACTTGGGATACGAATTTTGACTTTTCCACTTTGTCCAAATCCGCCTTCAATGACACCATCTTCTCCACTTGATAATTTAACCTTCAGGTTGGCAAAAGCTTGAATGTTCGTTTCTTTCTTGAACATATTCTTTGCAATCAAAGTATTAGCATCATTAACCCTTTCCACTTGGCCCTCTCTACATTTGGTCTTGAAAATCTTCACCTCTGCCAATTCCGTCTCTCGATACTTAGAGTCTGTGTAAGACTTGAGCAAGACACCATTAAAAGCAATTCTACAGATATTGGCATTGATATCAGAATCGAGTTTCGAGCCGATCACCAAACAAGATTCACAACATGTGACTGGCTTCTCAAATTCTAACAGTGCAAACTGAACTCGTCTTTTGGCTGGACTATTTGATTCATCTTCTGTAGGAATGTCTTCTAAAAGTTTGTCCTGATAAAGATAATCCCTAGAGAGGTCCAGGTGAGATGACTTTTCATCGAGGTCTGTCAAAAAACCAAAAAAGGTCACATGAGCCATGACAGTTTCATGACCCATTGTTATGTGGAACTTAGCATTGGTTGCAATAGAGCCTTTAAAGTAGCGGATTTTACTGACAGACACAAGGCCAGCATAAATAGTGGGAAGTGCTCCTGATGAACAGACAAGGCCTCGCTCAAGTAACTTAGGGTCAAACTGTGTTACACAAATGCCAGCACGATCACCCTGAAAGAAAATAATAAATAATAAAAATAATCTGTTTTCTCTGTAGATTTAAGTTTAGCTAAGGAAATCGGTTTCATCAATCTAATTTAAAGGACAATCATTTGTATGTGTGTAGAGCTTGAACTCCAAATATTTAGACCCTTAAAACCACCTATATTCTGATTCAGCCTGTTCCAAGCTTTTGATAAACAGTTTATTTCTGTTCTGTTCATATAAGCAAAGATATTTGTCAATTAAAATATTTAAGAGTTAACATAAGAAAACATTAAAAAAAAAAAAAAAAATCTAGACATTTTTTTTTCAAATAAACGGCAAAGTTAGTGAATTAATGAATTGTAGAATATTCCTTACTTTTTGTTTAATAAAGAATTTTTACAAATTAATTATTTCACATAAAAAAAAAAAAAGAAAAACTAAACTTTTAAGACATTAAACAATTTTCTATGTATACTCAAAGCCTATATCATTCAATTACTTTTCCTATTTTTTAAATAAACAGTCGTAAAAATTAATTTGAAAATGAAAAGATTAAAAGCATACTTGAGCAATAATCTTATTTAATAAAGACCATTTTCCTATAAGGCTGGACATTGAGAAATGGGCAGCATCAACCGAAATATAGCAATTCTCCATTCTTAGTCTGATCCCTCTGATAAAGACAGGGCATGGCAGCAGGAGTTACATATTTTCTGGAGTGATACAAGAATCCAACCATTATATTTATCACTCCAGAAAACATGTAACTCCTGCTGCAATGCACTAATATTCTCCACCCTGCAACTCTTATCCCACAGATAAAACGTCACTACCCATTCACTGCTATATTGCCATTAATATGGAAGATGTTCGGATGAGCTACATTCCTGGACCTTCACAGGTAGAGCTCAGCATGGTGTGTTCATATATTATTATATAACTCCTGCTGCCATGCTCTAAAGAGATCAGACCAAGGATGAAGTATTGCTGTTAGATTTGGGCTGGTCTTGTCCAATACTCACTGTCCAACCTCAACAGTATCAAAAATATTTACATGGCCTTGTGGGTGATGAATTATTCTCCACCCTGCAACTCTTATCCCACAGATGAAATGTCACTAGCCTTTCTCTACTCTTTTGCTATTAATATGGTTGATATTTGGATGAGCTACATTCCTTAGTGAAGCCAGCTTCAACCATACAGATAAAAAAAAGTTGTTAGCCTCTCACTACTATTGCTATTGCAAATGTTTACAGGAATTACATCCTTTAGTCCCATTAACTTGAATCTTCATGGCTAGGACCCACCATACCATATTCACATACAAACATTATAAACTCAGAAAATGATGGAGCTATTAACAACAAAGATATTGAGCCATTTTAAATTCTGCTGTAAATTTTTCTCTTTCAATTTCACTGGTTTCAACATTTTGAGAAGCTTTCACCAGACTCATTTTACCTCTGGGTGGGAACGCTCTGCTTTGACTCCATTATAAAAATACCATTTGTGGTGGTCTGAACAGAAACCTGGTTTACCTCAGCCAATCACTCAAAAGTACACAAAGTTCAGTGTTAAGAATTTAAATTTGTTTGCATCAAAAGATATTTGAAGAATGGCGAGTTCTTTGTACTGCTCTAGAATATACTGAACTCCTGCTGCCATACTCTATCACAGAGATCATACTAAAAATGGAGTATTGTTGGGCTGGTGCTGACCATTCCTCACTGTGCAGGTTTAAGAGTTCAAAAGAGACTTTAGTTCAGAGAATTGACAGCAGAAATTTGGTATGTATACACATGTGTAATGTGTATGTGTATATATATATATATATATATATATATATATATATATATATATATGTGTGTGTGATAAGCCAACTGTAACAATCTTAAATTATAAAAATGGTGTACAATTCTAATGAATGACTAAAATGATTATCATGTGCCCTAAAAATATTGGAATTACTTGCAATCTTTTGGATGTGCTGGCCTTTTGAGACATTTGTTCTTTTTCAAACTTGATTCTCATCAATAAGGACAACTGAAGATGACATGTCTGAATTATATTGTATGGCTGCCCAAATGGATATAGAAATAAAATAGCTATCACCACTGGATTGCCTTGAACTATTCCAAAATATGAATGTCCAAGTAGAAATGACATTGCATAATGTGGCTTCCATAGATGCTAAAACTTTAAAAAAAAAAAAAAAAAAAAAAAATCTGTTTTCTGCACTGCAGATTATTGATTATTATAAGCTATTTAATTACATTTCAGGTTGTGATTAACAGCTGAAAGAATAAAAACATGAGTTTAGTTTTCTAATTTTCTATTTTGAAAGTCTACAGAAACATGTTTTAGTATAGTTTTTAAAAATCTATAAAATTTAACAAATAAAACTTAAATGTTGCAAAACAATATTTTTCTATTTTGCTGTTTTAAATTTTATTTTCTAGAAAGATACTTTTTAAAAATCATGATGCAAAAGTTTGTAATCAAATGGAATTTTACTTAGTTGTCATGGAAATTATTTACATGGAAAAAAAGAATTAAGACTTTTTATAAACTAAAAATCTTTTAACAGTGAATGAGTTAATAAATTCAGTTGTCAACAGAATAAGCTTTATTAGATTTACAGATGACGATATCTATCAGAGAGATGAAATTTAAATTTTTATTATTGCATTATTCCAAAAGTTTTAACACATCAGCAGAGATAGCTATTAATATCAACAACAAAGCACAAATAGTTATTAATTAGTTCTCAATGTACAATATTATCCATACCTACATGTACAAGAATGTCACTTTTGGTAAAAGTTAAGAAATAACCATAAATACGTAAAACTTGCATATATTGTCAAAAATTCCTTTTTCCACAATATAGCTATTTTTGCTATATTATAATGCTTATTACCTAAACAATAATAATACTGAATAATGTTTTTTTCAAACATTAAAGTATATTTAATCACATCTCCCTAATAACTGTCGTGATCTGTTAATTAGAATTTCTGTAGATCTATTCAATGTCAATGAATCAGGCATTCAAATTCCATTTTCAGTGTTCCTCAGAGTTGAAAGTTTTAAAATATTTAAAACACCAATATCAGTTTTCATATATTGAATGAAAATAATTTCTGAAAATAGAATTCACTCTTACATGTAATTTAAACAGATGTTTATCCTGTTATAGTTTGCAAGCTTATTTGTATTGGAATTGGGATGAAAGAGTTAATTTTCAGTTTTTATGTTTGTATTAATGTATAAATAAAATAATTCTTAGGCTTGCAATATGTGGAAGGCATTTAGCAAATTGGGACTTTTGATAAAATTAATCAGGAAAATTTTTAAGTCCTAAAAGAAAGATTAGAAGTGAGTGAAGAACATAAAGCCATGAATTTCAAATTTATTGAAATGAATTATTTTGATGGTGTGTGTGTGAAAAAGAAACAATATGAATGCATATTTAAAGCTGTGCACTGAAATATAAGGTATTGAGCTTGAATAATTACAGCAGGCTCTTTTCACACACTGATAGTTGCCAACTATCAAACTTAAATTATTCTGTGTACAAATTTTACTACTCTGGGGGGCCTGCAAGCCAACTTGGCAACTATCCTTTGTGTTATAGTCTGCCAAATCTAAACAAATCCTCGTGTCATCTTGGGTAGCGGCTGGATGTTGCCACATCTGGTTTTTCTTCTGGTTATCAAATCCTGTTCTCCCTTATGACAGTTAAGTCATTTCAAAATACACTTGGGGAGAGAAAAGACAGGAAAAAGTTTTGTGATATGAGTTACTAACCTGAACTACTTTCTCTATGGGTTTACGAAACATCTGTATTGATTTGATTTTCTTAGTCATTTTCATCGATGGAATTTCTACATTCTGGAAAAAAGAAATTTAATGAGATTCTTCTTCAAAATGATTTAAAAAAAAAAAAAAAAAAAAGCGAACAACAATGAAAAGCTTCTTTTAAAATAAAAAAAACCAAAGTTAAAGTTAATAAAATTTAATTTGCAAATGGTGAGTGGGTTGAACACCCACCTGATTTTTGGGCCCTATTTCACAATATATATCCCATAGATAATGGCTTGAAAACAACCTCAAAACAAAAAAAAAAAAAAAAAAAATAAAAAATAAAAAAAATATATATATTATACCAATTTATGCCAAAGAAATTTCAGGTAATTTGCTTTTTAAGCCCCAATGCTAAGCATCTAATGAAAATTTCCTGAACAGTCATTTTTTTATTCTAAATTTACTGCCTAATTCAAAAATAAAGAAATTTTTATAAAATCTGCCATTTTGGAGTTACCGACAATAAAAGTTCAGACTCATTCATGTCATCATCGGCTATTATTAATGTTTATTGCATCAGTGCATGCACAATAATCGAGACAAGTGAATGTCTATTCCACAGCAAATATATGCAAACAATGCCAGTAATGGCAGCCGCAACGTGACGGAGTCCAAACTTTTATTGTCAATAACTCCAAAAAGTAGATTTTAGCAAAATTTGTTATTTTCGAATTAAACATGTAAATTTACACATAAATATAACTATTCGGGAAATTTTCATTAAATACTTAGCACGGGGCTTAATAAGCAAATTACTCAAAATTTCAACTTATTTCAGTGTTTTACAGCAGATTTTTTATACAATAAATTTTAACTGTCCTCAAAAGTGTTTCCTCTTGCAACGCATTATGGCCTATTTTGAAAAGTAGCCTGGTGTTGTAAAAGGAAAAGACAAACACAGAAAGTGTGAAATATAAGAAATTAAATTTATTTCCACAAATATCATGTTTATGATAAAATCAGACAATAAGCACCATAGTTATACAAATAAATAAAAAAATACATTCATATTAATAAAATCATCAATGTCCATTGACTTAATGTTTAATAAAAAAAAAAAAACGTTACTGAAGTTCTTCTGCACCCTGCCCTTCTTATCTCTCAGCTGGGTCCTCCTGAGGTTTCTCAGGTGTAGGGTGGTGACGAGTTCCTCATTCTGATGCCCTTCCACATACTCAATGAGCCAGTGGAGGTGGTCTACTGCATCAGTGTGGCTCTGGGCTGGTGCTTCTTTTTCTTCATCTAGAATCTCCTGGTTGGTCAGAGTCTCTGTTACCGAGGTGTCATCCCACTCCTACCTCAGACTACATGGACCCAGTCCTGGAGGATGCAGTCTGCATCCAGGTGTTCTTCCAGCTAGTTCTGGGCTGTCTGGATCTCTTTCTCAGCTGGGCTGGGATTAGTCTGCTGCTGTTGTGTCGGCTGACCTCTGCTCCCTGTAGATCTTCACTGTTCCTATGCTGTGCCTCTTCTGGAAATGCTGGAGCCACCCCTTGCTGGCAATGAAATCTCCCTCACCCTAAGCTCCATGAAGCTGGTGGTGAAACTTCTCTGCCTGGTGCCACACGATGGAACCTGACAGACAAGTCTTCTGGCTCTGCTCTTCCACAAACCAGGTGAGCATAGCCTTGTCCAGCTGTCCAAACCTTTCTACATGGACAGTCTCTGTGAACTCTCGCAACTTGGTCTCCTCTCACCCAAACCCTGAATGTGGATTCAGGTACCCCTGTATCCCTGCTGATTTTTGCCTTTTGTTTTACTGTTCTATATCCTATCAAATGCAGTTTTTCTTTAGTGTGTACACTTTACATTTAGACATTTAGTATTACTACTAGAGGGTCACAATTTCCCAGGAACTCCGGGAAATTTATTCCCGGGAATTTCCGATTATGATCCCTAATTACTATGTGCTATTTATATTTGTTTGTTTATGAGAGATTCTTGATGTCTATTTTTGGACAGTCAAATTGAACATTATGAACCAGAGAAAAGTACTATTTATATCCCATCGGATATGGTATCGGATTGCAGTGATTGAATTCCTGTTAATTAGTCTGATATTATCAGAAGTCTGATTGCACACGAAATAGAAATATAAAGTAATCGTGTGTAAGCATTACCAATACAATTGGATTAAGTGTAAAGCAAGCAAGGTGTTAAAATTTCACAAAATTTGGGCCGTCTAATCATCAAAATCAAGGTAAAACATGTGAAAAAGGGGTGTAATTATTAAAACAAAATTAGGACTCATCTGATGATCACTGTTCTGTCTATTGTGAAGATGGTCCAGAAATTGGTAAAATAGGGTGGAATTTCTAAAAAAAAAAAAAAAAAAAAAAAAAAAAAAAAAAGGAGCGATATTGGGGTCCACCACTGACCTGTGGTATACTTTCTTTCTTCTTTTTATGTGCCATGTCCTGAAAGGACATGGCCAATCATGGCTCTCCACCTCCCTCTATCCCTTGCAGCTCTAAACAAGTTCCTTCCCTCTGCTTTCTCCCTTCCACCTGCCCAAGTACGCCAGGTATGTCACGCGTTGTTTTCCCTCGTCTCTCTTTCCCTCTATTCGACCCGTGAGTATAAGATTCTCCAGTCCCTCCTTCCACATTATGTGTCCCAGAAATTTCAGCTGCCTCTTCCTGATATTAAGTATAACCCTCCTCCTTGTTTGCATCCTCTATAAGACCTCATCATTGCTCACACGCTTGGTCCATGATATTCTTAGCATCCTTCTGTAGGACCACATCTGTTGCCTTGAGTTTCTTCTTCATCCAACATTTGCTGCCGTAAAGAAGAACAGATGTCACGTAACAGTTCAGTATTCTTTGCTTTGTTACCAAAGATATTCTCCTGTCTTGCAGTATTCTGCCCAACTTTTGGAATGTGTGCTTGGCCATCCCAATATGCCTACAGATCTCAGTGTTGCACTTACCGTCCTCTGTCAAGACACTTCCAAGGTATTTAAACTTCCACGTCTGCTTAATTCTAGTGTTCCCAACCTTCAGATTGCGTAATGAAATTCATAAATAATCTTGAATTTTTTTTTTTACTTAAAAACTTGGGTATTCAGTGACTAAACCAGTCAGTTCCCCCTTAACAGGCTTTTCTGGTGAAGAAAAGTAGCTAGATGCTCAGCAGGATAAAAATAAGACTGGTTAAAGAGTGGATGAGCCCTTCTGTAGGGGTGAAGGGCCATCTAACATGCTGCTTTGTGGCTTGTCAAAGGATAAGGGACATAAACCCCACTCCCTCACAAAAGACAAATCTGTGCTGTTTCTATGCTAAGGCAAACTGCAACCAATATATGGCGATTAGTAATAGTGATTTCCCAAGCGCAGCTTAGATGTGGCACAAGGCCAAAATTATGGGACACCTAGTGAGGAATGAACTCACTACTCAATTGTAATTGTTCTAGTGAGATCAGCTTGGTAACCATTACACCGCGTCAAGGTGCCCTTATATGGTGATTGGTAATATGCTGCAACTAGAAAACTTAAAACAAGAATATTAACGTCTTAGTTCTAATCAGTGACACTCGAATGCCTAAGATTAATAAATTTAAAATATTTTTAATAGAAAATAAATGATAACTAGTGAGTCATCAATGCAATGAGGAGGCCAACTGTAGTTAGAATTACAGAGTCATTGTGAATTCCATAATATTTTCTTTTATATTATAGTATGGGCTTTGCTAGGGCTACATGCAGGTTTGGAATTCAAAGTTGTCTCCTAGACTGGATGCCAACCAAAGCTAAAAAGCTAAGTTGGCTCTACTATTTAACCCACAGCTGAAATGAGAAGAGATGGATTCATACCTTTCCCAAGGGTTGTATGTGTAAATGAATTATAATAAACTCAACTGGAATTCAAACACAGTTCTGATTTCTCATGCCGAACCACTAGCCATTATATCACCTGTACCTTAATGAAAATTTAAAAATTGGAAAACGCACAAATTGTGAGTGGATTGGGAGTGTTCTAAACCATTATTATCAATACAGTGAGTGAGAAGATATCACATTATATCTCTTCAGAAACAAGGGTCATAAGTAGACTAAGTGAAAAACCAGGGAAAAAAAAAAAAAAAAAAAAAAAAAATTGTTACTGAAATCTCATTCACTTTTAATAAAGGGAATTCATAATTCTTCCCATAGAAAACACACTGAAGAAAATAGTTTTGGTCATGTCAAGTGATTTTTATATATTTATGGGGCTGAACTAAAAACTTAAAGCCATTTTTTTTTCCCTTCATGTAATAATTTTTTTTGTAAAACTTTTTGAAGTTTTACTATAAATTTGCAATCTACATATGCACATTTTATTGGAATCACAATGTTTGAATTCATGGCTTTCTAATACTAAATCTATGTTGAAAACATTTTACCAACGAGCAAGAATATAGATAGAACACAAAGAAATGAATCCTGTCATTAGAAAACAGCATGTTTAACAGTTGGACATGTCTGGTGGTGGTAGACTGTCTGATACACTCATAGTACTAAGTATTGGTGATTTACTGAAGTAGTGATGCTAATTGTTATTTTTCTTTACGGAATAATTAGAATATTGTTTTGCCGTTAACAATCATATTATAGTGTCTAGAGTTTGAATCTGCTGTGTTTTTTTTTCACTACTATATTTGTGGAAGACTTATTAGTGAAAAAAGAACAGTAAACCCACCTCACAAAAAAAAAAAAAAAAAAAAAAAAAAAAAAAAAATCCAGAGACATGGAAAAATAAAAATAATAGTAACAGTTGCTATTTTTGTTGCAAAATTCAGGATAAAAAAAAAAAAAAAAAAATAAAAAGAAATCCTAATCTTTCACTAACAATAAGACCTAGATCCCATGGATCTGATCTACCAAGCCCTATTCCATTTACTGAGAGGAATAAAATGCCACAGATAAAGATGAAAAATTAGTCCCAATATTTTCAAGCAATAAGCTACAGTTATTTTCTCAGGATTAACTCAAGGATTTAGTGATATAGATTTCACCAAAGATGTTGTAGAACTGTTGGGGTAAAGA